TCATCACCATTGCTGCATTATTCGATATTCAATATAAATCAGAACCCCATCATCACCATTGCTGCATTATTCGATATTCAATATAAATCAGAACCCTATCATCACCATTGCTGCATTATTCGATATTCAATATAAATCAGAACCCTATCATCACCATTGCTGCATTATTCGATATTCAATATAAATCAGAACCCCATCATCACCATTGCTGCATTATTCGATATTCAATATAAATCAGAACCCTATCATCACCATTGCTGCATTATTCGATATTCAATATAAATCAGAACCCCATCATCACCATTGCTGCATTATTTTACCACCCAGCAGCATCTGCTGACAATACTACCACCATGCCGGCATACTACTATTGGTTTTATAGCTGAAAAGATTTTTACTTTCTTAGTACAATTCCGTTAGTTGAATTTGAAAGGTCAATGGTGCCAGCAACAATAAGATAAGTGAAATGAGACCACCTCACTTTTTATTCTTCTTTACTTAAATTTCGTGACTCGTACATTTTATTATTATAGTTAACTAGCGGACATTTTTTTGGATTTGCTTAGGGCATCTTTTTTTCATCCTTTTCTTTTTGTTTAAATTGTTTTTCTTAGGTTTCTAACAATAGCACCATTTTGTCATGTTTCAAATAAAGTTTTTTTTTTTTTTTCAATAACCAAAGCAGCTTTCGTACTTTTTCGTGCATTGTTGTACAGCAACATTTTATTTAAAATTCCATTGTCTGCGTACGTAAGCACTTCGGAGCACCGGGGAATAGCGACTCTATTTTTTTAAAGCAGGGAAAAATTCGCCAGGGGATTAACGACTGCGCTAAGCGAATACCTCATCTTGATGGTATTGATCATTGATGGTATTGGTAGCAATGCGGCCCGCCAACGATGAACAATAAACATTTTCTTTATAAACTTATTGAAAGCTACTTCCTATCGTAAAAATAATATCAAATTGGGAATCAGCTTATCAAAATTAACAAAATAACGCGCCTCCTATTTCTTTCTGGATTTAGAAGATCCGTAAAAAAGGAAGCAATTTTATCAAGATTGCATCATGTGGTATATTTCTTTAACTAATAACTCATAAGGAGCAGAAGACAGCTGTCAGTTTTAATTGATCAAAGGCGAGCTGTGACGCACAATCCCTTTAAAATTTGCTGCCGTGCGGAATTAACTTAGCCTTTTTTTGGTGCAAATATCTCGACTCGTATTCAAGATAAATGGATATTTTTTTTATCAAAATAAAGACAATTGAACAAGCTTTAAGATGATATCAATAACTCTACACACCCAAAAATTGTTTGAGCCTGATTCCACCACGCTGCCTCACATTTAGGTCATTTTGGAGGCGGGTTCAGACCCTGCCTTTCAGTGCTAACCCAGGCTGAGAAGGATTCAACATCTTTAACAGAAAGTCCGCGGAAACCAAGGAGTTTAGAACTAATGGAGCCTCCTCTCTCTCTTCGCGGCGCCACGAGCAGTACGCCGCGGTGGGGATCAAATATGGCGACCGAGTGTGGGCTAAATCACGAACTGTGGCGTTTCTTTTTATAGAATCTTATCGGGCTGGGCCACGTTGTGGGGGCGGGCGGGGTGGGGGAATGCACGCAAGGAAGAGGGGATGGGGCTGGGAGGAAAGAGGAGGGGCGGGCCTTGGGAAGGGACGAAGGAGAATGGGAAAAATTAAATAAGAGAGAGAGAGAGAGAGAGAGAGAGAGAGAGAGAGAGAGAGAGAGAGAGAGAGAGAGAGAGACAGACAGACAGACAGACAGACAGACAGACAGACAGACAGACAGACAGACAGACAGACAGACAGACAGACAGACAGACAGACAGACAGACAGACAGACAGACAGACAGACAGAGAGAGAGAGAGAGAGATTGTGATCAACTGACGGGCTGACGGATAATGACAGGGAGAAAAAAAAATTATGTGTGTGATACGGACTGTTCAATTCTTTAAGAGTTTTATGTTATAATCTAGTTTAAAAATCAAAAAGATGTGTAAAATAAGAAGAAAACTTGTCCGAGTAACATAAAATTATCAAACATACCAAATTATAAAGATAATCTTTCAAGATGCTAAAATATTTAATTATAAGAAATGGATAAAAATATGCTTTTAAACTGAATTTAAGACACCGGTATTATGATTGCATGATTCTAGGCGTGTGCCATAACTAACTTTATGTGTAAGGAATAGCGGACACAAAAGAGGGTCGATGTTTGCTTTATCTAATTGCGAGCAGTATGTCTTGGTCTATAAATAATATTATTGATCACAATTATTTTGTTCCTGGTTTTCACAAAGTGGAGCGCACAATGATTTCAAATATTTTTTTAAAAAAGAGAGATAACAGCGCCCTTGGAGGTGTGATCGCATGCATGAGGGTGGATAACCTTTGAAGGGTGTTTTTGTTTGTTCAATAAAGTATGATATGGAGAGCAGCGTTTTTAGTCCCTTATTACACCCCTGAGGGGGGTAATTTATCTTAGTGATGACTCTTGTGTAGTAAAAATTTGTTGTTGCTTTGTTTAGTTTATTTTTAACAGCAGAATCTTAAGTGAACCGGAATTATTGATTGTGGGATCTTTGGTGAAAACTGCAACAATAGAATTAAACCGAGTATAGTTCTATCTAGCAAGACTCAAACTCTTATCCACCCTACCCTACCCTCTCCCCTCATTTGATATGGTTTGGTGCTTCTTTAACAAAGAAAATATTCATCATTATTGTTGTTGAGTATTGATTTCATGTTCTAATGGAGCCTCTAGATATCTACATTTAAACTACAGTAGCATCCAATTTGCACACACAAAGGAAAGCAATACTTTTAATTAAAATGTATAATGTGTATATACACACACACATAATAATTATATATACTCATAATAATTATATATATATGTATGTATGTATGTATGTATGTAGTTATGTTATGTATGTATGTATGTATATGTGTATGTATGTATGTATATATATATATGTATGTATGTATAGGCATAATTTTTAAATAAGTTGGGTATTTCTCGTCTCTCTGCTGGGAAAGTGTGACAATTGTATTCTGGTTTGATCTAGTGATGAGCGCAGAGCTATCCTCTGATGAATATAATAGATAAACCTGTGTTGCAAGGCTGAAGGAGTTTTCAGATTAAATTTTTTTCAGACGCAAAATGTAACTGGAGACCTGTCCGCACAGTTGTCACAAAAGTCGGACTTACA